TAAACCCTAAACTCAAAGGCTTAGCTTCTCCGTTGCGAAGCTTGCAAACAGGAGTATCGAGCAGCGTTTTTCTCAGACCGTAGGGCTCGGGCTGAGAAAGTTCCCCATAGCAATGCCAGTGCCAGATAGGGATGTATGGGGGTATAGTCCTCCTTAAGTAGATAGAATATGGGGTATATGGGGTCTAATTATAATATACCCAAAGCCATTTTCTATCTACTCATGGGGACATATATATAACAGGTGTATGTAATAGGTGTATATAACAGGGGTATATGGGGGGGAATGACAAAGAACATGCAAGCTACTATGTAGGTTTTAGGGTGAATTGTCAAGCAACGATTTGTTGTTTCGGGGCCTAAACCCTTAAACCCTAAACCCTAACAGTGTCTTATGGACTGTTTAGGGTTGAGGGTCCCAGAACAAAATCAATGCCGTAAGTATTCTCCTCAGTATGTGGGACAGATGTTGAGGGTTCAGGGCTTTTGAGTGCAGAGTCCGGGTTATTAGGGGGCGTAGAGATGGGAAGATGGAAATGAAATTCTGGAAGTAAGAGTAAGAGAAATAGCAATAGTATTAGTAATAGTAAGAGTAACAGCAATACTCATAGTAGTAGTCATTATAATGGAAAGCCCAGCTCATGGATTCGTGCCAGACAATCCCAAGATAGTCCTCAAAGGCCGCATGTCGAGCATCATCCTAACTACAAAATCAGCATGTACCCTGAACCCAAAAACGGCCCAAAACCTCCAAAGCCTAGAATATCTACAGCAAAAAGGCAGAGCAAAAAGCACCAAAAGCCGAGGAGAAGGCCCAGAAGAAGGATGAAAAGAAGAGCCAGAGGGCTGCCGCCAAGGCCAGTGAAAAGGTCAGCGACGTCAGGACCCGGAGAATGTTTCCGAATTGGGAGCTTAAAGGCTTGCAGATTGAGGGGAAGGGTTTTTGAAAAGATCTTATAACTATCATACGAGCTTTAGTCTAAACTCTTTGAAGGCGGTTATATAAGGGATTATATAGGGACCTACTCTAGGGCTTGTTGAGGGGAATGCTAGGAGTTTACACTATAGCTCATGTGACTAGAATTGGGTTTCAACTTGAGGGCTGGGGGTTATTAAATCCTCTTACCAGCTTCATGCTTTGAAATTCAGCTTGGGATTTGGGGGTTGTAGATGTAGGGTTTAGGGATTAGGGTTTAGGGTTTCTACAGGGTTCCGGACCTGATTGGAGGAGAATTAAGAGACTTTTGCATCAAAGGTTTGCTCCAATATGAGAGGTATCATATCCAGCAGAGCTCGGACGATGGAAAAACAGTAGTAATAACAGTAATGATAAAGGGAGTATCACAGGCATGATGGGAGGTTTGTTCAAGGACGCATTTCGAGGAGCTTGATTGTGAATAAGGACTTCCAGATGCTATGCCCTTTGATTGCGGAGCAAGTTTAGAGATATAGTCCCCCTTAATTAAGTACATAGAATATGGGGTATATGGGGATCTTATTATAATATACCCAAAGCCATATGTTCTATTTACTTAAGGGGGACTATAAACCGTGGGTGTTCATGCATAAGGGTGAGGTGATACCAGGGCCATCAAGCCCAAAACTTGCCTGCACTACTGCGGGCCCAACTTGCATATAGGGTTATAGTCTAAACTCCTTAAAGCGGGAGATATGGGCGATTATATAGGGAAGTACTATAGGGGTCATTGAGGGGGATACTAGGAGTTAAGACTATAGCTCATAACCGTTCGTTTGTGTATTGGCATCACATTTCAGTGACACCTTCGGATGGGCTCGAGCTGGTTTCAAGTTGTCAGCGGTGCGCAGGTGTATTCAAGAAGCTTTGTTGTGAAACCCTGACCTACTGGTTCTTTGTAGGGAATCAGGAAAGATATTCCCTACATAATCCCCATATAATATACTCCCTTATTCCCTACTAAGAACCAGCAGGTTAGAGCCACCCATGCCTTGAAGGCTAGCTGGTGGTACATCGTAGGACCCAGAGCGAGAGCGCGAAAGCGACACCAAAGAAGTGCTGATCCAAGTTCTCCGCAGCAACATAAAAAAGTGGTTTGAGATATAGGGAGTTCTCCCAAAAAAGATCCGTGCAGAATCCCTAGTAGGTATCATGATCTCTCTGCAATAGAGAAAGCATCTTGTTTTCTCAGCTTCTCAGCAGCTTGATTTCTATCCCCAACAGGAGAGGTTTACTACCTACCATTATTGAGACTATGGTGGTGCAAGATTTCTGTCCACCGTAGGGGCTGCCGGGCCAAAACTCGAGAAGCCTCTTGTGGACGCCCATAATGTTATGAGTTCCAATGGCTGGTGCAGGGAACATGGGACTTTTTCACCCTGAAAGTCACCCCCTCCTAATAATGATAACTTCCCAGCCTCTGTGACAACGGATATCCCCGCACACGGTACCATTATATGATAGGGGAACAGTTGATTATGTTGGGGAGTGGGGGGTTGTCATAATTCATCGGGAGGTGATTAAACGCATCCCTACCCCTTTAGGGTCTTTTTTTATTGGGGTACATATGGGTGGTTGTCAAAATCATGGTCCCTTTTTGGATCCCTATTATAATACGGCCCCTAATATTTAGGGTACCCCAAAAAGGGACCATAATTCTGACAACCACCCATATATATATATATATGCTATATATATATGTATGATACAATAGAAGGTTGGGAGTTGATTCGGATCCGGCGGCTTTGATTTCCAATACGTCAACAGATGTATGTTTTTGGGATAAATCCATATTCTATCTACTTACGGGGGACTATAAATCCTCCTTTTGGTAAAGTCTTTTGGATGGATAGATGGATAGCGACTGGGGCGTGACAGCCATGGGTCCGCCGCCTGCCCTGGCGGTCTTTCCGAAGTCGTCATTGGGGCTCCGTTTGGAGTTCAGTTATAGCTTTACAGGTCCTATTCCTACTTATTATTGATTGATATTTCTTACTGTTACTACCCAGGGTCGATGCGCCAGCGCTCCGACACGCCGGGACCATTCAGAGGGTCATCACTTGCGCACCAAGTTCCGAGAACCCTCTACGCGCAGCCCGACACGCTGGGTCCACTGAGAGGGTCTTCGCTTGCACGCAGAAAATCCGAGGACGCACCACGCAGCAGGAGCGCAATTTTGGAGAGCCGACACGCCCAGTTCGCTGAGAGGGTCGTCATTTGCGCGCGAAATTCCCACGACGGGCCATGCGGGAGGTTTGTTTTGCAGAGGTCGGTAGTTCCTGCCAGCGCTACCCCGTGCTTTAAAACCAATTATCGGGAACAAAAAACCTAGAGCCCTAAACCCTGAAAGCCGTAAACCCTAAAAAGCGTGAAGCCTTGAGCTCGTACCTCCAACCCTAAACCACAAAGCACTAAACCCTAAATACCGTGAACCCTTGCACCCGTACCCTACAACCCTAAAGCCCTAAACCCGCAGACCCTCAAACCCTTCATGAATACACAACCCCTCCCCTCTCCCGACTGAGTCCCCGAGCCCTGTAAGGATTCCAACTTGGCTTAAAGGGTTGAGGGTCCAAGGTTTAAACGGTGGAGGTTTTTTTTTGGGTGACTTTAGGGTGTAGGATGTTGGGTTAAGGGTTTCAAGTTTAAGGGCGTAGAATTTAAGGTTTATGCCTGAGGGCTTGGGACATATATGAGCCGTGCGTTGTTGGCAGGTTGGTTTCTGTTACTGTCTTTTCCTTGACGGAGAACTTGGCAAAGCAAATGTACACCTCCTAGCCAGCAGTAGCTTTACAACCATATGGGCCTTACATCAAGTCCAAAGTCATGCGAAGGATGCACTTCGTTGTTGCCATCTATGGTACCTATACATAACTTTCAGAAAGCCCAAAGCCCACACCCCAGAATTTGACGTAGAATCTAGATGAATTTAGCCCTTGGCAGTTAAAAGGCCTTAGAACTCCAAGTCTGGGACTCTTCCTGTGAACTTGGCGTGGGTGATTGATGTATAGAATCCAGATAGGGGTTCCCAAAATTAGGGGTACCTTTTTGAGGGGTCCCATAATAAGGATTATAGTAATTTGGGTTGTATACTGGGGGGTTTACCAAGAGCAAACCCTACACCCTAAACCGTAAGCCCTTCTGCCTCCCAGGTCTGCCAAACCATCAGTCTCTTCAAAGCCAAAGAGCCCAAAGAAGCACCCAGACTGCAGAGTTCAGATAGTGCAGTTTTAAGGGCAGGCTGAAAGAGTCGATAAGAGCTTTAGGTTCTGAGGTTATCAGGTTTTTGCGCCAAGTGAGTTTCAAGGTAGGTCTGTGCCGGACCTACATCCCTATCTCCCAACAAAAAGGGGTTCATAAAGTAACGGCGCAGCCATAAGACAAACCCACCCTAAACAGTAAACCCCAAAACCCTAAACCCCAAAACCCTTAGCCCTAGACCCCAAAACCCTAAACCCACTTAGCCCCTTTGTTTTGACCTACCCTGCCATTGGCCAGGGTTGTTCCCTTGAACGGTATGAAGCCGACTGGAGCCTCTGCCTCAGCTGACTGCCACATGCTTGCTGCCCTACACCCTAAAGGGTTTAGGGTTTGGGGTTTAGGGTCTAGGGTTTAGGGTCTGACTTGTACTTAAAAAATGGCATCCAGACTGGTAGCACCATGAATGAGATGCCGTTGGTCATTGGCTGGTTGTTGAGGTTGCTTGGCTTACGGGTGGTTAGTAGGATGTTAGTAGGGAATACGGGAGTAGAATCCCTACATAATCCCTATATTCTGCATTCCCTTATTCCCTACTAAAACCCCAAGATCTACCTTATAATAATGTAGCAGTGTCCATTTTCTTTTCCACTATCCCTGCATGCTGTATCCCCGTATTCCCTACTAACCCCCTGTGGGTAGCTAAACCCTAAACCCTAAACCCTAAACCCTTTAGGTTAGGAAGCCCGGAGGCGTTCTTCGCAGTGGGATTGTTACGTTTTTGGCTTTTGAAAGGGTAAATGTGCGTTTCCCAAAGTTTGGGGTACCTTTTTGGGGGTTCCCATAACAAGGATTCTAGTATATCGGGGTCTATATTGGAGTCCCATTTTAGGGGAAACTACCAAATAGCAAAGTGAAAAGGATGGTAGTAGTTTTCTCTAGACGCGTGGCATTCCCCAGTTCAGGGTTGTGGGTTTAGATTGGATACTGCCCCCCCCCCAGTGACAGTCTATATTAGGGGTCCTATTAAGGGCTATATATATATAACCATAGTATAATTATTATCCAACTGTTACTGAGGGGAGGTAGTACCCAAGGTTTAGGTTAGCTCTTCTGTGAGGCTGCTAGGCCCCGGACCTCATTTAGGACTAGTGGAGGGTAGGGATTGTTGGGGGTTGTTGGTTTTGAATTGTGTTGTGGGATGTCTTGTGGGTTTGGGGAGATGGCATGGGTTTGGGATCGTGTTCTGGATATTGGGGTGGATTGTTGGGAGCGCTTCGTGTTTTGCATGGCTGGAAAATGTTAGTTTATTGGGCCGGTTGAGAATTCGTGTAAAGAACTGTGGTGAGGTGTAGGATTTGAGGTCTTGGTTATGACGCTGGTTGCTCAACCCTAAACCCGAAGCCCTAGCACACCTGAAGTCCTACCCAAGCCTCCCCAAACGCCGAGACCCTGCCCTGAGCCCTCAAACCCTAATCCCTTAACCCTACTCCCTAAACACCAAACCCTAATCCCCAAACCCTAAACTCCTAAACCCTAAACCCCAAACCCTGAACTCCTAAACCCCTTGAATTGAGGATGATGAGGCTGACATGGTGCAGCCGCCCTTCTTATCTCTCTAGCCCACTGTGGTGGATTCCTAGAATTTGCGATACCTGGGGAGAAATAGGGGCTATGTAGGGTGTAGGGGATAAGGGAGACCCAAGAATGGAGAACCAAATGGAAAAGAAAATGGAAAATGAAATGGAAGCTACTATATATATTTATGAGGATTCTGCTATCGTCTAAACTCCTCAAAGGGGGGTTTATATGGGGGATTATATACGGTAGTATTATGGGGGTTTATTGAGGGGGATGCTAGGAGTTTAGACTATGGCTCATGACGGGTTATGTAGGTGTAGGGTACAGTTATTATAAGGATATAGAACCCCAATAATGGAGAATAGAAAAACAACTGGATTAGATTAGATGGTGGTTCACAAGATTACGGGTCCCCACGCTATGGCTTATCGTATTTTGGGGTGTATATTGGGTTCGCCCTATTTTGGTAAACTGCCATTTGGTAAATTCGAAAGCTTGGGGGGTTCCCTTTGATGCACAAAGGTTTCCAAATCATTGTGTACATCTTTCGGCTTTCTGAGTGCGTGGACGGTACTCTCATAGAGGACCTAGATAGAAATCCACAATGAAACCTGCCAACCCTACAGCCTAAACCCTAAATGGTAGCTTCCGTTTTCTTGTTCATTATCCCTCTGGGGTTTTGCTAGATGGGATCTCTTTCTCCTGCAGGTTCAAAATGTTGAGGCTCACACAATCAGCTTATTCTCAACCATCGGTATCTCACTTCTTTGCCCTGAAAACCCTAAACCCTAAACCCTAAAAATACCTATTGCATGTTGTATTCTAGGACGACTACTCTCAAGGACCCACAAGTTTCGGATGACCTGAGTAACTCGATTGAAGTATCTATAAGGCCTATGCTATATGAGCCATTGTCTAAACTCCATAAAGGGGGATATATAGGGGATTACATAGGGGAGTACTATAGGGGTTATTAAGGGGGATACTAGGAGTTTAGGCTATAGCTCATATGGGGAAGCAAGCCTGATCAAAAAAGCTGTTGTAATGCCAGGCTTAGAAAAGATTTTGGAATCCCTACCTGATCTCTGCCTGACCCTTGACACTGACCCTTGACACAGCCCCTCCAAACTGCAAGTTTTCAAGCTTCTGAACCCTAATCCCTGAACCGTCTTCATGCCATCCTTCAAATGGTAGTTGCCCAAAATAAGGGGACCCTAATATAGACCCCAAAATACTATGTAGTCCTTACTATGGGGACCCCCCAAAATGGTACCTCA